CCCGCCGCCAGGGGTTCGTCACTGTCACGTGCAACCCGCGTAACCTTGAGCACGTGCTGCGCACGAGGTTCGACAACTACCCGAAAGGTCCGATGTTCCAGTCGGCCTTCCACGACCTTCTGGGGCAGGGAATCTTCAACTCCGACGGCGACACGTGGCTAATCCAACGGAAGACGGCCGCACTGGAGTTCACCACCCGAACACTTCGGCAGGCGATGGCTCGATGGGCTAACCGGTCGATAAAGACCAGACTCTGGCGCATTTTAGCTGATCATTGCCTAAATGCCGGGGCTGGCGCGGGGGTGGACCTCCAGGACCTTTTGCTTAGATTGACATTTGACAATATCTGTGGCTTGACTTTTGGGAAAGACCCCGAAACTCTATCCCCTGATCTGCCTGATAACCCTTTTGCGAGCGCGTTTGATTCAGCCACGGAGGCTACATTGCAACGATTTCTCTTTCCGAGCTTTTTCTGGCGGCTGAAGAAAGCTTTCGGCATCGGCACGGAAAAAAGCCTCAAGAAAAGCCTCGAGGTTGTCGAACGTTACATGACCGAAGCCATCGCAGTGCGAAAGAAGACACCGTCCGATGACCTTTTGTCGAGGTTCATGAAGAAAAAGGACGGCAATGGCAACAGCTTTCCTACATCAGTCCTACAGTGGATTGCCTTAAACTTCGTGCTCGCGGGTCGTGACACCTCGTCTGTCGCCCTCAGCTGGTTCTTCTGGACCGTGATGCAGAGGCCTGATGTAGAGGAGAGGATCGTGGGAGAGATTGCGGCGGTGCTTAGAGAGACAAGGAGGAGCCTCTGGAATTTGAGGAGCTGGAGAGGCTAATCTATCTCAAAGCAGCGTTGGCGGAGACGCTGAGGCTGTATCCGTCGGTGCCAGAGGATTCGAAGTACGTGGTGGCGGACGATGTGCTGCCCGATGGTACGTTCGTGCCTGCAGGCTCGGCGATCACGTACTCGATCTATTCGGTGGGGAGAATGGAATGGATATGGGGGAAGGACTGCATGGAGTTTAAGCCGGAGAGGTGGTTGTCGAGTGCAGGGGATCGGTTTGAGCCTTCGATCCTAAATAGTCGGGGTTGGCAACCCCGACTATTTAGATTAGTGATTAACGCGTGCTACATCACAAAATCCGGTCGTTTTGATAAATAAAAGAAAACGGTCGATTTGCAAAACATAAAAATCCGGAATGAGTCTGTTTTGCAAAATTATTCAGATAACAAAACTACATCCACATGAAAGATAGGTAGCTTGAGTAAACATAGCTTATAAACAATCCGTGCACTCAGCAAATATTAGTTAAGACAACCCTGCCTAATCTGCGATCCTAGTCGGTTAGTGACTTTTAAATCTGCCCAGAGTGACTGAAGAGGGGGGGGGGGGGGGGTGAATTCCTCTTTTTAACTCCAGCGCTTTCCATTTGACAGCGAAACAAGTACTGGTAATAATCTCCATATCTTCCACTCAATCTATGATTAAAACGTAGAATCATTGACATCAATGATATACAGTAATTAATAATAACGAGTACTATGCGTGACGCTTATGTATGGTAAAATGAGTCTGAGAGCATAAGTAGCTGCCGAGTCCATCAAACTAATCACATTAAACGCGCGGACATCATCACTCTATATCTAGACAGCTCAGATGCGTTATTTGCTAAATGCAGCCATTCACCTCTACAACCATCATTTCCATTCAGTATATAGATATACAATAATTTAGCTCAATAACATGTAAACAATTTTTGACTCAGACTAAACCCAAAATAATCACTCACATACGACCAACACAAATTGTTATGAAAAATTGATACTTGAAAAATCCAAACTTGACGTATGCATGAACCCCTAAGCCTGCAGTTGCCAGTTACAGTCCCAGGGGGGCATGACAAACCATGATTCTCTTTGAATTTGGACCGCAGCCTGGAGTGCCCAACCCACATCAAGGTCCCTAGTACGCACGTAAAGAAAAAACCCGAAGCCAATTCTTCATAAACAGGGTGGCGACATCTTCTAGCCTCCACTTTGATGCCCGGGAACCATCTCTCCAACCGATGACGGAAGCAGCACGGCCGACGCGCATCGACTTCCATCTGCAAAATACGCCCAAGTCTTTCCCTAGGAAGTCCTCGGCCCTTGCATTGAAACGGCCACAAAAAAAGATCATTCTTACAAAGAGTGAGTCCAACACCTGACTAATTCAAAAGACTTCCACTGGGCTGAAGGGATAGCGGTAAAAGAGAATGCACAAACCTCGCAGCATCGGATCAATCTTGGATTCTTGACGCTTCGCACTACAGATTAAACCAGACCGATAATTTTTGAATGTAAGTTCCTGTTGTATATTACTTTGACTAAATTGAAAAGCTCATTGATCAAACAAAACGTTACGATGTATATGCATATACATCTAAAGGTAATGAAGATTTAAAACATACGCATGCATAAATAAGACATCCTCACGCTTGCACGTGGATTAGACCGGCAAGACTTGCATTTACTGGCCATTGATGCTCATAGGCAAGCATTTTCAGGTCTCATAAAATTGTGGTGTCCATACAAAAAAATGTGCTGATGGACCTAGATCATCTAAATAAAACACAGACGCCACCCGAGCGCTTCTGATCATCAAACGTGCTGTCGTACAGCAGTACATACTTGATCGATCCCTCGTCGCTCGCCACCAGCATACTGAGTGAATCACAGTCGCTCACCCACCGGCATACTGATGGAATCCACAGCAAGATGAGTCGGAGCTCCCAGACCTCCAACCCCTCCGTCCCTCCTGCTCAAAAACAGCCGACCCCCCGCCCTCGCATCCATCTTTATCACCTCCCCTCCTCGGCATGCCGTCCTCCCATGTCCACCATGTTCTTCCTGTATCTCTCGCTCCTCTCCTCCTCCTCTTCGCCCTCCCCGTCTCTTCTCCAGCCGCGACCAACCTCGAGCGCCGTTCTCCTTGCTCACAAACACCATGCTCTCTTGTAGCAATGCATCCACCTCTCCTCCTCCCCCTCCGTCGCTCCTCAGCTCCCCGCTGCTCCTGACATCCTCCAGATACACACCGGGGTCTCTCCCAGCATCTCTCATGTCGGCCACCGCCACGTCCCCAGACTTCCAGCAAACCTTGTAGACGCTTCCATCTTGCTGGGCTCAACATCTAGCGTCAGGCCAAAGGATCCCCAAACCTGCTGCTCCTCCCCGCCCCCGGCTCCGTCGTCTCCAGACCCCACTCCCCCCACCTTCGGATCCCACAGCTTCGATGTAGCCCCTGTAGCGAACGCCCCCAGGCCTACACCGCGCAGGCGAACACCATAGCCCGGTGGCCGCCAGGTGAGGCCAATTCGTGCGGCGCCAACCTTATCGAGCCCCAGCCGTTTCGCCTCCACGCAGCCAGCTCGGGCCGCGGTCTTCAGGGTGGTCCGTCCACGGACGATGATGCAAGTTCCTCGCGTGGGCACTCCGAAGGCGGCGAAGAAGGGGAGGCTGGGGTCCGAGTCGGCAGAGTCGATAGGCGTGACTCAGGCCTTGTAGATGCGGGCGTCGTCGGGATCGACCAGTGGAGGGACGCCGAGGTTGGGGCCGGTGGAGACGTCGTAGAAGTGGAGGCCGGGGGAAGGAGGGATCCGACGGCGGCGATCATCGGGCGCAGAGGCGCGGAGAGGTGAAGGGAGTCGAGTGCGTGCGGCGCGGTGGAGAAGGTGGTGAAAGCTCCAGTCGTAGAGGAGATCTGTCCGCCGTGGGCGATCGCAGGAGGGATCCGTCGTCGGGGGCCGGGGAGATGGCGGAAGGGGTGGGGTCGGCGGCGGGAGGACGTGAGACGAAGGGAGGCGTCGATGGCGAGGAGAGGGGGAGGCGACATGTGCGGATCTGAAGGAGGAGTCGATGCCGTAGTAGAAGGGCCTCGCGTCGACCAGGTCCTGCTTGCGAGAAGCGGCGGAGGGCGGCGGAGGGAGGCGGTTGGAGCGGAGGACGGAGAGCAGGACGCGAGAATATCTCCGGGTCGCGGTCGATGAAGATGGGCTGCGCCTGCTCGCGCGCCGTCGTCTTCGGCGGCGCGGAGTGGTCGGTTCGAGAGGGCGGCCGAGGAGGGAGTACGGGCCGGCGGATTGAGGGCTGGAGAGGTGTCTCGACAGCCTAACCGCCAGACGTTGACTTGATTCGGTGGTATGCCGGGTTGTTGAGTTTCCGAAGTGGAAACCGATGCCCTCAGCCTCCGCCATTATTTTATTTATTTATTTATTTATTTATTTGCTCCTCTCTCTCTCCCTCTACCCAAAGAGGAGTTGGCTGAAGAAAATAGGGTAAGTAAAAAAAGGACGACAAAACCGGAAAGAGAGGAAAGAAGAATCGCTCTAAATACATTATTCTATCTACATGCGGAGCTGCGGCTTTTGGAGTGGACTGGATGCTGAGTTCACGATACCGGGAGGATTGAGCAAAGAGATAACAAAGAACAATTTTCAAAATCGACCCATTTAGTTTTTTTATTTTTCAAAAAATCGAATCCGTTTTTTATTTTACGTTACAAAACCGAGGAACCGGATTTGTGATTAGCAGATTAATCACTATCCTAAATAGTCCCGGGGTTGCCACCCCGACTATTTAGGAGGTGTTAAACGCCTAAATTAAGGCCTTAATTAGGGTTTAACACCCTCCTAAATAGTCCGGGGTTTGGCAACCGCCGACTATTTTAGGATAGTGATTAACCTGGCCTAATCAACAATAATCCGGTCGGTTTTGATAATAAAAGAAAAAACGTCGATTTTGAAATAAAAAATCCGAATGAGTCTGTTTTTGAAAAAATTCATTCTATGATAACAAAACTACCATCACATCATAAATAGGTACTTGAGTAAACATTAGTTATAAAACAATCCGTGCACCTTCAGAAATATTTAGCTTAAGACAACGCACCTTGCCTAAATTCATGGAATCCTAGTCGGGTAGTGACTTTTAATCTGCAGCTAGCTGAGCTGAAAGAGGGGGGGGGGGGGGGGGGGGGGTGAATTCCTCTTTTTAACCTCCAGCGTTTCATTGACAGACCGACGCTATGCGCGAAAACAAGTACTGGTAATATCATAATCTCACATAAATCTTGAGATAAAACGTAGAATCATTGACTATCAAATTTGTAATACGTAAATAATAATAACGAGTAACTAGGTGACGACTTATGTAATGGTAAAATGAGCTGCTGAGAGATAAGCTAGGGCGAGGTCGCCATCCAACTAATTCACATTAAAATCGCGCGACATCTCACTCTATAATCTAGACAGCTGCGATGGTTATTTTGCTAATTAGCCATCACCTTACAACCATCATTTCCATTCAGTATATAGATATACAATAATTTAGCTCAATCAACATTAAACAATTTTGACTCAGACTAAACCCAAAAAAATCCACTCATACGACCAACACAAATCTTGTTATGAAAAATGATACTTGAAAAATCCAAACGTGAACTATTGATGAAGCCCACTCTAAGCTGCAGTTGAGTTACAGTGCCCAGGGGCATGACAACATGATCTCTGAAATTGACCGCGCAGCTGGAGTGCCCGAAGCAGCTGATCAAGGTCACTAGTTACGGCACGTAAACCCCGAAGCCCATTCTTACATACAACAGGTGAGCGACATCTTCTGCCTCCACTTACTGGCCCGGAACGCATCTCCCAACCGATGACGGAGCAGCACGGCCGACGCGCACGACTTCATTCTGGCAATACACCCAAGTCTTCCTAGGCAAAGTCCTCGTCCCACCCTGCATTGAAACGCCACAAACATAATACTTCAATCGTGCTGCTCCGTCATCGGTTGGAGATGGTTCCCGGGCATAAAGTGGAGCAGAAGATGTCGCTCACCCTGTTTATGAAGAATGGGCTTCGGGTTTACGTGCGTACTAGGGACCTTGATGCTGTTGGGCACTCCAGCTGCGGTCCAATTTCAGAGAATCATGTTGTCATGCCCCCTGGGACTGTAACTGCAACTGCAGCTTAGGGGGTTCATCAATACGTCACGTTTGGATTTTTCAAGTATCATTTTTCATAACAATTTGTGTTGGTCGTATGGAGTGGATTATTTTGGGTTTAGTCTGAGTCAAAAATTGTTTACATGTTGATTGAGCTAAATTATTGTATATCTATATACTGAATGGAAATGATGGTTGTAAGGTGATGGCTCATTTAGCAAAATAAACCATCGAGCTGTCTAGATATAGAGTGATGATGTCCGCGCGTTTTAATGTGATTAGTTGGATGGACCTCGCCACTAGCTTATCTCTCAGCAGCTCATTTTACCATTACATAAGTCGTCACCTAGTACTCGTTATTATTAATTTACGTATACAATTGATGTCAATGATTCTACGTTTTATCAAGATTGAGTGAAGATATGGAGATATTACCAGTACTTGTTTCGCTGTCAATGAAACGCAATAGTCGGGGTTGCCAACCCCGACTATTTAGGAGGGTGTTAAACCCTAATTAAAGGCCTTAATTAGGGTTTAACACCCTCCTAAATAGTCGGGGTTGGCAACCCCGACTATTTAGGATAGTGATTAATCTGCTAATCACAAAATCCGGTCGGTTTTGATAAGTAAAAGAAAAAACGGTCGATTTTGAAAAATAAAAAACTAAATGGGTCGATTTTGAAAAATTGTTCTTTGTTATCTCTTTGGCTCAATCCTCCGGTACTCGTGAACTCAGCATCCAGTCCACCTCCAAAGCCCAGCTCCGATAGATAGATAATTATTAGAGCGATCTTCTTCCTCTCTTTCCGGTTTTGTCGTCCTTTTTTTACTTCCCTATTTTCTCTCCAACCTCCTCTTTGGGTAGAGAGAGAGAGAGAGAGCAAATAAATAAATAAATAAATAAATAAATAATGGCGCGTCCTTTAGAAAAACCATAACAACCTAAAAAGTTTTTAGGTAGAAAATATTATAGATTATTTGCATGAAATGTTTTACAACCGGAGGCGTTTAAGTGAAAATCGGTGGAACAATAGGCCACTTAAGTGCAATTCGCCCTATATTTAAAAAAAATTATTGCAAACATAAACAAGATAGAATGAAAACTATCCATATTGTGAGTGAGCAAATTGATTAAGGTATAAATTAAATGAAAAAAAAAACTTCCTAGTATTTGCATGTTGATAAAAATCCCATTAAGGATCCTATATAATCATCTTTATAGGGATGCAAAAACTAACTTTAAATGCAGTTTATCTATAAATTGAAAATGAGAGGTGGTTTTCATATAATTACCCTATTTTTTTAAGGTTAAGAGGAGCCTACATCTAATAATGATTTGAAATACAGTCATCTTTGTACTAAAACAAGGCCATCTGCAGCTTGCTTTAGCGTTAGATTATTAACACTTAAAGCAACAAACGAAATATTAACTTATAATAATTTTCAATCCACTTAAAGACCAAACTTAAAATCCTCTATCTTCAACAAATGAAAGGCAATTTTTGTGTTGAAATCCGAGTCTCACCGCAACTTTTGACTCCAACCTATGCTCCTCCTCCAAATGATTGCAAATCGACGCCAAGTCCTGATCCTCGTAGCAATAAGGGCAAGCAAAATCCGGCCTAATCTCCTCTTCGACCTCGAAATCATCCATTCCCAATCGATCTAACACAAAATGATGAAGACAAAAAGATCAACCACTTCCAAGTCAATTGAAACCAATCAAATCAAATTAGCTCGAATCGATACAAAATCAAAGGAAAGAAACCTAATTGGGAGTTTTGATGTTGATGGAGGGAGAAATGCCTCTTTGCTGCGGCGAGACGAGCGATCCATAGATCGGAATCCATGTGATCTCTATTTGCTGTTCTCTCTCTCCCCCACTTCTCTTTCTCTCTAAATTTGCCCCTTCTTCTGATTTTATTTTCTCTTGGTGGAGAGACTTCTAAATTTCTAGACTTTTAAGCGTTGAAATTTTTTTGGAGAGAGAGAGATAGAGACGGAGGACAAAATAGAGTTTTTGTGGGTGGTTTTCCCCCGTCTGCTGAGGTAGGAGAAGACATTGTTGTCCTTGCAAATAATCTTTGCACAAATTTTTCAAACCGTCTTATTGAAAACTTAATTGTAAAAATCGACACGTTTTGTACTTACTTTTTAAAATTCGATAGCTGAAACTAGGTCGATTTTGAAAAAAAAAATCATCTGAAACTTCACGGGACTTCAACCCGTAAAGTTTAGTCTTCCGCTAATCCTCCTCTCAAGCATCCATATAAGTTCACGGGACTTAAAGTCCCGTGAACTTTTATTTCAAACTAAACTTCTTGGGACTTGAAGTCCCGAGTCTCAGTCGCTTTTTGAGAGAGCTCTGCTCTCTGGAAAATTGTCCTTACAACTCCACGGGACTTTAAGTCCCGTGGAGTTTGGCAGAGCCTATAAAAGGCCCAGGACCCCACTAGCGATATTCATCCGTGTGTGTGTGATGAAGAAGCCTTATGAGATGCACAAGAAGCATTAATCTTAGAAGATTTGTGTGCATCATAGCAAAATTTAGCAATGTGGCCTTTACGACCGCAAATTGAGCATTTGTAAACTTTGCTATACATATGTGCATAGTGAGTGCTTGGTTTTGAAGAGTTAGCACGAGACTTTGCACATAAGTCCATAAGTTTCTTGTTATTAACAATGCATGTGTTAAGAGTTGAATCTAAAGATGAAATGCGATTTTTAATATTGTTCAACTCATCATTAGGCATAGAAGCATTGTCAATAGAAGTAGAGCAAATATGATCATTTTTAAATGATGTAAATTTACTTCTAATAGACTCTACTTCTAACATGGCATCATTCTTCTCATGAATTAAGCTAGCAACATTGGAACTCAAGGTAATATGATCCAATTTTAATTTTTCATTATTTTCTTTAAGGATCACATTATCTTTAGCAATAGTATCAAATTTTGATGCTAGCAATTCATGATCGGATTTTAAATTAACATGCTTGCTTTTAAGATCAATGAAATTATTATGCAACTTAGTGTAGGCATGCATTAATCTATCATATGCACAAGCAAGTTCATCACTAGATAAATCATTATCGGGTTCGAACTCGCAAACCTCACTAGGGCTATCGCCTAGTGGCCGTGTGCATGATGCTCCACATGAACTTGAAGCCGGATCCGCCAAAACTTGTTGGATCGCCTCCAAGTCCCCTTGATGTGCTTCAATTAATTTCCATAAGGTGTAAGCACTATCAACATGAACAAACTTGTTAGACATAGATGAGTTAAAAGCATTTAGCAAATATTCTAACAAAATGTTGTTCATAGTAAACATACGATGATCATTTTTATTCCACTTTGATTTCTCCATAGTGGGCACAATATAGGCATCATCTATAATTTCCCATAAATCAAAGTGTTTAGATTGAACAAAAAGTTTAAATCTAACACACCATTGGGCATAAGGGAAATTATCTAACCTAGGAGCAATATTAATGGCATAACCTAAACCATGCATATCCATAATATAAAAGGCAAGCAAGATACAAATAAAGCTCAAAATTAGATTAGCACAATAAGCTAACTTGGATCTTTAACTCAAGGCGATTAGACCTTAAATCAAAGAGCACCAAGCTCTGATACCAATTGTTAGACCCTAGAGGGGGGGTGATTAGGGTCTTATGCTAATCTAATCCGATAAAAATGCCAATTAAAATATATTAACAAGTTATCCTAGCAAGTATTAAAACCAACAAGATATGTGAGCTAGGATAAGAATATGAACAACAATATATATCCTAACAAAGAGATATAGGCAATGTATATGCAAGGATATATAAACTAACACGAGGGTAAACAATATAAACTAGATAGTGGATCATAAAAGGATGAGTAATGCACAATTGGCGATATAAGATAAATGCAAAAACAAATACCGCCAAAGCACACTCAAACAAGCAATATGATCACGGAGTTCGGACCTTCCGTCCTACGTCTCCGCTCCCCACTCCCGGGGAGAAATCCACTAACACAATCCGGTTTGGAAGCCGGAACTTCTTCTCCACACTCGGTTTTCTAGCTAACCGAAAACTCTACAACTCACACTCTTGCAATCACACTCTACACCCACTAAGTGTTGGACCTAGCCGTGTCTCCCTCAAGTGCTCGGTTACAACCTCTCCCTAGGCACGTCAACCGACGCCACTCCTCTTGGGACGATCCCCGACTCTCACCACACACTCCTCACTCGGTGTACAAGAGTATTACAAAGTGATTTAACAATTAAGCACAATATAGCAAATGATTGTTCTCTCTAACAAGGTGAGAACTCAATTAGGCTCAACTCAATGTCACACTATCCCACAACCCAATTATATAATGTATGCAAATAAGCTCATGTGGGTGTGTGTAACAATGAGATTCAATAAAAACTTAACTCAATAAGAACTAGCAATAAGATTGATATGAAATACAATAGTAGAAATGCTAGGATTAGAGTTAAGAAAACTTCTCTAAAACACAAAGGGAGGATGATGAAATGTTGAAGATGAACTCTTCAATAGTTGATGTAAACTCCTCTTTGTAAAAGCAAACCCAAAACAAACTTAAACCAAAACTAAACAGGTTTAAACCCTTGTTTTAAAACTTGTTAAAACATTCTCTTAGATTCCTTGAAAAGAGATCAGCAATGGGGTATATATACCCACTAGAAATCTCAGCAAAAACCCCCAAAACAAATGACAAAACAGC